TTCCTTCTACTTGGAGGGTCCCATTTGCATTCATTTCGGTTCCGTACGCATCTTTCGTTTTCCAGACAGAACGAACAATAATAAAGACGCATGGGTGTTTTCCATTCAAATTCCACCCCAATTACGTAACAAAAATCAATAAATAGGGAATAACTTCCGAAGGTCCAATATCAAAAATTTCTTTCTTATTTAATAATTTAAGACATTTTAAATTACCCACTCCAATCCTACTTTAGTACAAATCACAACTCTTTCTTTTTAAATAAGAAAATACTGTTTTCACTCCCAATTTATAATCTGTTTAAAAAAATTAAAAAAATACTGTAGTCTCTTGATTAATTAAATATGTAGAAATATTTTTTAATTAGATATTGATAAAATTACTTTTAAATTTAATATATTTTATAAGATATTTATTAAAAAATTATTTTTTTAACCTATAACTAATATCAAACTAGTTCCCTTCTCAATTTACATATTCGCATGGTGCCTTATAGGCATTAGGAAATGTAATGTTTAAAATAAGCTGAATGCAACTGATAAAAAAAAAAAAAGGCTAAGTGCTCAAAATATCATTATAATATTTCAGAGTAAAATTTCATATAGCTTCAAGATGTATATTCTTCTTACTCAGAAGAAAAAAGGGGAAAAGCTCAACATTTGTTAGTGCTGAAAACATCATCAACATCCAATGTGGTGGAGAATGAGGATCCCGCAAGAACGAGGATGGGGGCAAATTTTTGCCCCCCATTAAAAATCTTTGCGAAAATCTCTGTCCTCGCCATTTGTGAGGATAAAAATGAGAAGAGATTTCCCGACTCCGCGAGACTCAGTTGACATCCCTATTTATTGTCGTCTACTTTTAGGTTTTAACCACAGCACAAAAGCTTTCTTCTTCCCTTCATATTTTTGCAAACCCTTAATACAAATACTCATGAAAACTAGGAAAATTAATTTCATAATATTGCCTCCCATTTTCCTCTATTGATTCTTCCTAATGATGTTTACATTATGGTTTGATTTAAATTTGAATGTTTTTTAAATAAATCCAACGTAATCAATTTATAAAATTTTTAAACCAACAAAGCGAAGCACTTTAACACTTTCCTATATTTTCTTCTTTTTTTTTTTTTTAATCCATATCTTTTCTACGAATCACTAAATACTTTACAATTCCTAACAAAATTAAGATGTGTCTCAAACTCACCCACTCTGTTGTCATCCACTCAAAATTATTTCAAGAGCCCCTTTTCGCAATTAATGCTCCTGAAAAGGTAAAAGCCAGAAGATGTGCAACGTTGACTTCTTACCTTCGGCTTTTTCATTCAATTTCATGAATCATGAATATTTTCTCTTGGTCATAAATT